GTGGCAGGGGGTGGCGAGGAGGGGGAGTCCTCTCCATTAGAGTCGCCATTTTTGCTGAGCGGGAAGGCACGGCCGGGCGGAGGCGCGGCGGCCAGGGGCCGTATAAGGTGTGCGGGGCGTTACTCGTGCGCGGAGCAGCCTTCCCTTGCTCCTCCGGAGCGGCGTCTCTCCGCGCCACGCCACGCCCTGCAAAGTGCCTGGAGAGTTGTAGTTTCAGCGCCGCCACCGCCGCCGCCGCTCGCACACCGCCCTTCCCACACAAATTGGATCTCTCAAATTGAGCTTCATCAGCGGGATAAATAATTGTGCAAGGAATGCGCACGGGGGGCTGCCGCGCGCGCTCCTCGCGGAAATAAATATTTATTAGAACAAGGAGCGCGGGCCGGAGCAGCCAGGCAGCGAAGACGAGAAAGTCTGGAACTATAGTGCGAGCGTGTACCTCGCATGAGAATATAGGAGCTGAACCAAACACGATTCATGAAATATTAATACTTCATATTGAACATAAAAGAGAATGAATGAACTGAAAGCATTTCAATTTTCCGACGTTTTTTTGAAATGTTGCAATGAAATTCTTCCACTAAGGACAACTTTCTATTTTTTGCGTGGGAGTAGAATAATCCAATGCCGGGCTGTTCCGCCGTGCGCCCTTTTGCTCTCTACCTTCTCTCCGTCGCATAAATCATAAGATGTTGAACGCTGACAGTATTGCCAGGCGCTGCTGTAACTTGGGGCGGCGGCGCGGGCGGTGGCAGAGAGGGGCGGCAGTGGCCTTCCTCCTACAAATTATGGACGTCTGCGGAGTTTAATATCGCAAGAGGAGCGGCGCTCCGCTACCGGTCTTATTTCCAGACTTTAATATCAGATTGCGCGCGCGAGGAGGGAGAGGGGGGGACGAGGCTCTCTAGTGCGGGAAAGAGGCGGTGTGCGGCCCGAGAGGGGGTGAGAAGAGGGGAGAATCTCTGCTGCGGAGGAAAATACCGCAGCATCGTGAAAAGCCTTCCGCTCGGCAGGCGAGGCGCGGGCCTACCTCCGTCCTCCTCCTCCTCCTCCTCCCTCGTCCTCCACCCCTCCATCCACGCCCTCCGCATGAGCGCCGCTCCAGAGCCCAGCGGGGCAGTACAGTACTATACATGCTGTTGCAACATTGCTTTGCTTGCGCGCCTGGTAAATTATTCCAAAAGAGGTCTGCAAACGGAAAAAGAAAATAAAACAAGAAAGAGGGTTATTCGTTGATACAGCTGATGTGAATTTGCTACAATAGCAGCTCATTTAAGTTATTCCTGTAGCTTATTAGGTCCTATCTGCGATTACATAGCTGAGAAAACGAGCACTACTTTTGCATTCTCCATGCGGTCACGAACGGTTCTGAAGAACGTAACCTTACAGATGGAGAAACTGATTGGTAGTATAACCAAAAGGATTGAAAGGAGGTCAACTAGTCGTCCATGTACGGCAAAAATCTCACCTGAGTTGCGGCTGTTTGCTTGCTACACTTTGACACCTTGATGTTGGTGGTGCAGTAAGGGTCCAAAAAGGGTAGCAGCTCCTGGACCGCTGCAACGTCAATCCCAAAACACCAGGTGTCCTTTCGGTCCTTGATGAACGGCGATGTTGAGGTTAACGCCGGTCACTTCACTGGAAAAACAAAGGTGCTAAATTGCACCTTTTGCACGGGTGCGAAAAATAAATTTTGAGCTGGATGCCTTTTTTTGTAGAGGCACTTAACCCTTTACACCTGTTAAAGGGGCGATTTAAAGCCTTCGTTTTTCCAGTGTCGTGACGCGAGACTCTTCCTCTAGGGGAGGACGGCGATGTCAGGTAGGTACCCGGGCGGTGGTGAGGCCTCCCACTGGGCACGGCGATGACGGCGTTCACGCCTCCGGCTCCTTGTCGCTGCAGCTACTAGGACGGCGGCGTCGACGCCGCGTCGCGAGCGCAGCCCCGTCGCCGTGCCCATCCTGGCCGCCGTCGACGCGTAGGTCCGCCGGTGTAAGTAGTACGTCCCGTCCCGGTGCGAGTCTGTCGCCTCGACGAGCACCTCTGGCCGACTGACCGGCCGGCGGACCGGTCAGCCCAAACTGCAGCGGGGCCGGAGTGAATAAATATGCGACACTGACCGGGCCCGGCAAGGGCAACGACGACGACGACGAGGAGGAGGAAGGAGGAAGGGATGAAGCGACACGGAAAAAATCCGCGCGTATTAGAATAATAATAATGAGAGGTGCAATACCGTCCAGTCGGACTGGTCCGTATGCAAAACAGAGCGCGTGGAGGGGGCGGCGCGGGGCGGGGGGTGTCCACCGGTCAGCGCGCCTGGTCAGCGCGCCTCTGGCCGCCGGGCCTCCACCGCCTGCCTCCGCGCGCACACGTGGGAACCAGTGGGAACGACCGGTGTGCGCGCGAGGACGGCGGCGGGGAAAAACCTGTTGGGGGAATCGATGGTGATTGCGAATGAGTGACATCGTGAGGCTTCTTCCCTTTTGCTTAAAGGGTTTGTCTGGTCAGCGGGCGACTCCCTTATGCTCCGGGACGCTCCTCTCGACCCTTCCTCCTTGCCGGACCCAGCTTGACCGCGAGAGGGGTGGATTGTGCTGCACTTGCCGCTGAGGACGCCAAGACGCTCCCACGGGCCCGTCCCGTACCGCGTCCAACCGTCCCGTGGACAGTGAGCAAGAAGCTCATTCGGTTCGTTTTGTAGAACCGATCTTAGCGTGTGGCGTTGCGGTGTTTTTAGTCTTATCTAAAATCGAACAAGTAACTGTTAAAGTAAAGTAATGTTGTATTTATCTGGAGAACGACAGATGGAGTAAAGAGTAGCTCAGGACTGTTACTAAATGCGACTAAATGCGATCCGTTCTTCAAAAGAAAGATTCTCTTCAATTTGATTCATAAGAATCTCGGAAAGAAAGTACTCCGTTTGCTCCTTGTTTTTGATCGCGGATCCAGGTTCGACCGCTGGTACTCGCGCGCCTCTGGCCCGTGGCCTCTGTGGATACGGGACGGCTGGATCGGTTCGGGCGCAACAGGTCCTCGCCCCCCTGCTCTACTGCAGCAGCAGCAGTTGACCAGCAGAGTCTGCGGGCCGCGGGCCGCGGGCCGCGGGCAGAGTGACCCGCGCGGACGGTAACCTGTTAGAGGACAACAGACGCACGCAACGTCTTTGAGGAGGGCCGGCGACGCCCTGGCGACCCCTATCACCTCCTCCACCCCTCGGTGCTCGCCGCCGCTCTGCACCACACCGACGGCCCCGGCCCGCCGACGGAAACCTGTTCCCAAGGGTCGCTGCCTGCCTGGCCCACCACCTCACGCGTCTTCTTGAGAAGGTCCCGCGTCGCGTCCCGTCGGGGTCCTGCCTGCCGTCCAGCGCCGGTACACACCACCGCCCCGCTCCACCACCCGGCCACGATGGGCACGATGACCTCCGGACGGCGGCGTACCATCGCGGGGCACCTGACCTACCCCCTGCCCTCCACGCCGCACCACCCCCACCATTCCGTACGTCCCTCCGCCCCCACCCCCATGTCTCTTGTACCCCGCCACCCCGCCACCTCACCTCTGATCCCCTTCCTCTTCAAACTACCCCCCGTACACCTCATCACCCAACTCCTCCCCCAAACCCCCTTTCACCCGCAGCTCACCACTTCGCCCCCCCCCCCCCCCCCCCCCCCCCCCAGCCGCCGCGGTGCGCAACGAACCAGGCTTGGACACTTGGGCGACCACAATAAGGTAATGCCTAATGAAACGTGGACCTGGCCCCCCCGCGAGTTAAGGCGTACGGTAGGGGGGAGTGGGAGAGGGGGGGTAAATTGGTCCAACTGAGTATGCGGAGTCGGGCGCAGGGCTTCGCTTCGCGCCTCAAAGCGCTGTGATATAATTCAGTCAGGCTTCTAAACTTTACTCCGTTGATGTGAAAAATCTTTCCAAACGTGGCCACTTACCGGCAAGCTTTGCTTTGTTTTTACAGTATTTGTTGCAACTTCGAGGGACAGGAAAAGTAGCAAAGAGCAATATTCCTGGCAGTGTCATCGACATCGAGAAACTGTCTGAAGCGATTCCCAACGAGCGATTTCACCCTCGCCGTCGCCCGCCGCCTCTTCCATACGGCCGCCGCCGGCGCCGTGGCGATGTTGGGTGCTTTATTTCAAAGACAAAACCATACGCCGAGGCCGCGGCGACCCAATCCGCTTTCCGCTTTCATCGCTCGAGTGGAAGAAGGGGGCGCGCGGCGCGGCAGAGACGAATGCGTGACAATCCTCTTCGGGCCGTGTTCGACGCGGTGCTCGGCGTGGGCTCGCGGGTCTGGCCGGGGCCTCGGGGGCCGGCCTCGCTGCCGGTGACTGAGCACGCCGGTGCGACACGCGCGGCGCGACGCACGACACGCTCACATCATTCTGGCGCGTGTGGGGCGTTGCGTGTACTTACGCCTCGTTGTTTGTGGGTCAGTCAGGAGCAACAACAACAACCCCTCGCGCGCGGCTCGAGAGCGCTCCATGTGGATGTGGATGCTGCTGCGTGAACGTTTGGGCCGCGTCGGCTGTCACCCGCATCCTTTGAGAGCCCTTCCGTTTGTTGCAGATCTCGCCATGCTGGAGCTGCTGCTGCTGCTGCTGCTGCTGGATGCTGCAGCCGCTGCTTCTATTGAAGTGACGGCGACCTGGGGCACATTCCAGTGTTGCCTGCTGCTGTTGTTGCTGAGAGAGGCTCTCAATACGATCGTGCACAGCCCAGTGTCCCTGCCTGCTGCACCCATTGAAAAAAAGTTGTGTTCAGTAAAACTTCTTGTGAACCTGTCCAAGAAGCAAAAAACTTTTTGAACTTTTGTTGACAGACATAAAGAAAAATATGTCGATGCACTCACAGACTTACCATGTTGGCGTTTGGGGTATTTCAAACCTCACTCACCTCAACCCCACCATTCCCCCAACATACCCTACGGACTGACGCCCCCACCCCCCGTTTTCAATGGGCAAGACTACGGCCTCTCTCTCTCCTCTCGCTCTCTCTCGCTCATTCTGCAGGAGTGACGGAGACAGGCGCAACACGGGAGGTACACGACGCGGCTCGCAGTGCGCTGCGAGAGCGACAGGGACAGACAGACGACACGAACGGCTCTCGCTGCGGGAGCGACGGAGAAGTCCCGCTTTGCATAATCGTCGCGGTGGGAGTGCGTAATGAGCACGGGGGCCCCCGGCGGCTCCCGCGCCCGGTGTCTCCGCTGAGCCGTAAAGTACTTTTATATTATGATTATTCTTATTGAAATAAGGCTGCACCGTCAGAGAGTGTCTTTCAAAAATGTTACTCTGCCAACGGCATACGCAGAACGCTACTATGCTGTTTTACTCGTTCGTTATGCTTGGTCGTACTCCTTGGTGACGCAGTTTAACGTCTTCTCACTGTCCTGTAACATTGACTTGGTTCAATTTATGTCACTTACGCGTCAGTAAGTGTTTTCTTTGGAATTTCGAAACATTGGGCAAAAACAACAAACTGTTGTAATTGTTGTTTTTTTTTTTTTGTTTTTTTTTTTTGTGAAATTAACATTGCTGTAGAAAATTAACTTTTTCCAAACCACATTTCTGAGGGTAACCACAACGCTGCTCTCAAATCTTTGTAGTAAAATCGAGTAAAATTTGGACTGTGATGTTCATTCAATTTCCCTGTACTTTTCACCAAGGGGAGTGAGGGGTGAAACTGGAGAGTTGCACACAACTTGGAAAGTGCATAGCAACGCAGACCCCTCTTGCATCTGAATCACGTCCGTGCGCGTGGCTGTGGGCCGGGCGGTGGCGGTGGTCTCCTAGTATGTAGTGCTGGAGGGCGGAGGTTTCGGCCGGCCAGGCGAGTTTTCGGGACTGGGCAGCACCGGTCAGCCCTCGCCTCGTGTGCCCATTACCATAACGACACGCACTGAGATGGCTGTGATTAGGATGCGCGCAACCAGTTTTCCAGGACGGGCCGGGCGGTACAGCACACGCATGTTCGGCATGACGAGCCGAGCCGAGCGGGGCAGGCGGCGGGCCCTTCTCCAGGGCGCGGCCGAGCCGAGCCGGTTGGGACGCGCCCCCGGTCAGTCGTCGTCGTCGTCGGTTCGATTTGCTTGCCATCCCCCAGTCTCTGCATGCCAATAAGGTGGACACACTGGTCGAACGGCTGGGGGCAGCACAGGGGGCGCGGCGCGGTGTGCGTGGCGTGGTGACCTGAACGCACGTCGCAACCGAAACGGTTCTTTTTCTCCCCCTCGCGCTGTCGGTCTTGTAGCTTCGACTCTCTTATTTATCACGCTTTGCACATACCAACTCCGAAGATCCAAGTTTACACTCTGCCTCTCGCGGTTGTCTTCTAGTACTTTGCTCTGGAAAATTACCCGAGGAAGCCTATGTTCTACCACTAAAGAGGTGAAATTAATTTTTGCTGAGGGAGGCAAAACTAGTTTGCGCGATGCCGTTCTGCGGGGGCTGCAAGAAATCCATGACTCGCCAGGGAAGATAACGAGGTTGGCAAAAGAAGAGGGGGGAGGACGCGAGAGAGGTGGACGGGCGGGAGAGAGGTGAGAGGTGGGCAGAGAAAGGAATAGGAGAGAGAGAGAGAGAGAGAGGGGGGGGGTAGAGAAAGGAGAGGGAGTAAGAGCTAGGCAGGGTAAGGAAGGAGCTGGCTATAAAAACCATTGGGCGCGGTGAGTTGGCCGTCGAGCCAAGTATTATAATGGTGATAATGAATCGGGCATAACGATTTTCAACCCTGAAATACCCTCGCAAAGATATTCCCAGCTGGTCATACTGCGAAAATTTAAGGTTAACTCTTCTCATCAATGCTTTTTGCTTTGTTTTGTTACCGCATTGGGTGAAATTCACTCTTACAGGAAGGCGAGGGTAGGTGCTCGGGTAGACTGGCCTTTCTCAACCGCGCAGTAAAGGTTCACCAAAACTGAGGGTTTTGTTTTAACAGTCGCAGCAAGTGTATGATATTATCCGGCGCGTGTCTTGCGGTGCGATGAAAATGGAAGGTTTTGTGATGAGGAGCGGTGGGCTCGGAGGGGCCCGCCTCGGGGTCCCAGGGGGGCGCGCCGGCCCCGGCCGCCACAGAAGTATGGCGTGCAATGAAGGCGCCCGGGCCCCGCGCGGGGTTAGTTTGCAAAAGCCTGGCCGTCCCCGGGGAGGCCCTTACGGGGGTCATCCGAACACTAGTCCTCTCCGATGGGCAGGGGAAGGGGAGGGGGCAAGAGTGCGAGAAGGAGAGAGAAGAGTTTTGCGGTGAGAGAGGGAAAACGCGAAACAACTTCTCGGCAGGCAATCCTCTGGGCCTGTCGGCGTGCTCGGCCGTCCTGGCCCTGTCCCACCGTGCGGGACCAATCACTCACTGGACCGCGCGACTGTGTCTGAGAGAGAGAGAGAGAGAGAGAGAGAGAGAGAGAGAGAGAGAGAGTGTGTGCATGAGAGGGGCACTCTGCCGACAATACACTTGGACAGTGAACACAAAAACTGTACCACAGTTGGTAGAATACCTTACGCGATCATCTACTAGCTTATTTATTCTTTACTCAATTTTTTCGTTTGTTGTGAGAAAGCTGGTTGAACAGGACTGGGACTGGGGGTAGAGCGTTAATAGGAACTACTCATGGCATGGTACATATCGAGAAAGTTTACCTCACAACGTTCTATACTCTCCAGAAAAATAAGTTGTTAAAAAATTAGGTTTGAAGCATCTAATCGAGTTTTTGGACCGATATCAATGCGGCAGCTTAGGGGGGAAGGCGGGGGGCGAATGGGGGGAGGGCTGAGCCGAGTCGGAAGTCGTGGGTGGAACAGGCAAGGAAAGAGAATAAGCAGCATAACCGGGCCTCATGGACGGAGGTCGAGGCTGTGCCATGCCGCTTGGGGCCGCGGCGGACTCAGCGGACTGACATGCCCACAGGAAAGGCGGACCAGGGGGGGTGGGAGGGAGGCAAGGGGTAGCGCCGGGGAGACCGGCGGCGGCCCGACCCGCGCCGGGCCCGGCCGAGGGACTTTCTGCTCAAACCGCACCCTCTTCTGCTCTCGCCTCTTTCCTTTCTGCCTCCATTTCCCCCCCACTTCCGGCTCTGTTGGTTTTCGAGAGCCGCTGAGCCCCAGCAGCGGGCCGCGCTCGTGACCCGGGAGGGGGCGCGGCGGGGCGGGGCGCGGCGGGGCGTGGTGGGGCGCCGGACCTGCTAATTCTTGCTCACAATGAATGGTCTTAGAACCGTATGGACGGGCTCTACGCCACCCTGCGGGCGGGTTAGGTGGCTCACTGCCGGTCGTCAAAAAAGTCTTCGAAAAATGGTTCAGTTTCATTTTCATAGAAAGTTGCTTCACCTTCACAACCACAAGCGTCACGTTTTCGAATACGGCGACGTGTCTAGAATGTCCTTTAATTGGTCGAGGGCAAAAAAAAGTAATCGTCCCACTCACTCATGTCGATCACAGAACGCCACTCAAGGTTTGCGGTTCTCATCCCGCTTTTTAAAATTTATACTGTACTGCATCTTCTATGGCTTGCCTATCGCCGTCGTTTGCACCGTGGCGCCTACCTTACGTGGGTCCGCCTATTGCACAGACACCCCTCTGTTCAACGAAAGGCCCAAAAAAAAAGGAAAACACGATCATTGCAGCACAACAGCACAGGTGCGTCTTGGTGTATGAAACAATACCGCGCACCCCGCCGAGTCAATTATGCCGGATGCTCTCATCACCAGCGATCCACTAATTATACAAAGCAGAGCAAAGGGGAAACAAAAGAGAGATATGCGTGCGTCCTCGTCACACTCGCGGCGACTCGCGCGCACGCACGCCGCTGCTCACCCTTACCTGCATCTCGATGAGCTCGCGCAGAGAGCCTTTTGTCTCGCGGTGTCTCGCGGCACGCGTGGACGTGGCGAGGCGACATCGGTATTTAAAGGATCCTCACCCCACAGGAAGATATGTTTTTTTGTTTTTTTTTAATCTCTTCTCCACCTCTTTTTTTTCCCCCTCCCTCACCTTTTACACTCGATTTAAAAATGTACCCCTCTTTTTATTGTCAACGGCCTAAGACTTGGAGGAGGCTATCATCCCATAAAAAAAGGGAAAAAATCTCAATCGAAAATTGATGGTTGATAATTTTATCTTAGAACTGTGTTCTATTTCTGTCTCATATTTAGAAATGTTTGGCTTGCAATCAGTTGACCTAGCGTCGTACTACTTACATAAGGCGAGAGAGAAAGAGCAAAGCTATAGGGAAGGCCCAGTATTGTTGGATACAATCGGGCTGGTGCTACAAGAATAGCACCACTAGAGGTGCACCTATGGGGCACGACACGCCAGCAACGCTTTTGCCCCCCCCCCCCTATATTTATTGCCTTCTTCCCCTTGTGCCTCGTACACGAGAGTACAAGCAAATGATACACTTATAAGTGTTAGTATAAATTAAATTATTTCAAATTTAAATGTGCTGAATTTGCTGAAAAGCTGTATGGCAATCATTGTACATTAGTCCAGAGACCAGGGCTAGCAAAAAGAATTACATTAAATGAAAAAATTAGCCCCCAGCTAAGCAAAATATTTTGCCTGAGGAACAATTTTGCCCAGGAGAAAAAGATCATTTTTAAACCCTTTGGAATTTTGCCCTCAAGGGCAAAAACATTATGCAAATATTTTGCCCCATTTTGCCCCAATGAAATTTCTCAAACAGGGCGTTTTGTTTGCCACTAGGGCATGGTACTTTGGTACCCATGTCTTTTGTTTAGCGTTTGGACAGGTTCGGACCTGTTGGGGACCATTCGGATTGTATTCGAAAACGAATTATGGGTAAAATACTGAGATTAGAGTGCTGCCGGGTTTGGTCGGATTTTTTAAATT